ATTTGTTGTACGCACATGAGTAAATGAAACGACAAACCTCCGCCTTCTTTTTCTCGCGTGGACGACGCGCGTCAATGTAGATTCAGTTGTTGATTTTGTTGTTTACATGTACATTTTGTTATGTTTTCTTGTTTTATGTGTAAGTCAAATTACATGGAATGTACATTTTACATGTAAATTCTGTAGGTTTTCTATTTGCTGTAGTAAACCCCCGTCCAGGTTTACTACGGGATTCAGTAAACCTCGCCTTTGCAATCTGATTGGTCGGCTCGAACCTAGCTCACTCTAAGCTCTGAAAACATATTGACCAATTGACCAGTGTGTGTACTTAAACCTCCTCTCTTCCCACCAACAACTTTCACTGTGTGTGTGTATTCCACTAACACACTTACACTCACTCATCACTCAGAACAGTAGCTATACACACAGCTTGCATAAGTGAACTCCTACTGTACTGTCTCCTAGTCAAGAGCTGGTGATGGCCTTTTTATAATCTCTCTCCATATTCTCCTAGTACATACATCAACAGACTGTGTATATTTGTGGCGGGGGCTCATTGTGAGACCTACAGCCACTGAAGCACACAAAGACTGTCACCTCCATTGAGAGGGTTTGGACCAGAAAAGAAGGAGAAAATGAAGTCTAACTGAGCAGGCAAAACACAGTGTAGCTCAGCACAGAAGCTCATATGTACAGAGATAATAGCTGGCATGTTTCTTGCACAAGAGACCAGGTTTGTGCATTCTCTGCATACCCATGAACAGTACAACACAGGAATTATACACGTGGATTGCTAATGTACCAGTCAGAGGCTGTGGTTTACGCAGAAAGGGTGGCGATAACATTTTCAATCTACGATTTACAATAGCTGCAACTAAAAACTTCTGAGTTGCAGATAATGGCTTCCTACTGTTATAAGGTAATCATCGACCAATCAGAGAGTGGGTAGAGTGGTGATGTCACAAGAGAGTGGGCTAGCCACAGGAAGTATATACTACCACAGCAGACTCCACTCACACATACACACAGTGAAAGAGGATGTGTTATACCTACAAAGACACTACACACAACTTTCCCCAAAGAACCTCTGGTTCCCAGGCCCTGCTACCTGTGCTACACGACATGGATGGATATGGCATGTACAGAGCTCAGACGCATTACACACGCGTGCGTTAATCTCCCGCAGCATCCACTAGTCCCAACACAGCTACAAATATTTTTAATACGGGCACGCATTCACACACACACATGTACAGGCCAAAGATCCCCGGCACTTCTCCAGTTCACCGTGCGGTGAGTCGTATCGTGCTAGTTCTGCTGAGTCTCTCACCTTTTCCTCCTGAGCCAACGCTGGCAGCCCTAGCGAGCAGTGCAGCCAACATGCACACGGCCAACAAGTAACAACCGCGCGCCATCATCCCCTTCCGTGTTGCTTACACCACTTTGGCTCTCAACCCTTCAATTATAGTGCACTGAAGTGATAAAAGTAAGTGATATCCACGGTACACGAGTGATCAGTCACATGAACTCGATCTTGTTCAGTCCGGCGATAGCTCTCTTTTCATACACAGTACCTCCTCCGAAGTATATACGAGAGCCAGGCGGAGAGATGAGCAAAGAACACACGGCGGGTTCTTTCCACACGCGTGCGCAGCGCGGAGTTATGCGCATGCGTGAAAGAGCCTTCGCGAAGTAAAAATCTACATACCGACTCCTATATACAACTAGCTACTACACAACGTGCATGTCCATAAAATCATCACTTGAGAAAGAAGGAAGAGACATCAGTCCATCATCCTCTTCCCAATCGACCTGCATACAAATCCCCAAAGGAAAACATTTAGATCTGGCACTATATAGCATACCTGATGAGTCTGTGAAGGTGTCTTTTGGTTTTCTTCACCACCTTTTCCCCCACCCTCCTCACCACCACTCACCTCCTCCTCCTCCCTCCCAGTGGCTTCGTTACACCAGCAGCATGCTGCATGCCAGTTGCCTGGTGGACCACGACTGACGAGCTGAAAGCGTAAGGTAAGTACCGTTCTGCTCACCTGCTCACCGTTCTGCCAATGTACAATACGCAATGTAACGGCGACAGGTAGATCTGTCTTGCTTCACGAAAGGAAAGCTGTGTGCTACGGCACGTTATGCAGCCCAAACATCGCGGGCAAATCCCAAGTTGGGTCGCTCCCGCTCGCCAACAATGTTCAACATTTCCACTAGTATATTACGTATATAAATCGCGCCGTTTAGACCACTATTACAGCTCCCACTCGCCAATGAGGAAAATTCCGCGCCGTTCGTACCACTAATAGGTTGGCTCGCTCCCACTCGCCAATTATCATTTCATTGCAGTGACTGTAGAGCTGTGTTTCTGAGTGACACATGTCTGAAACTCACCTCCTCCCTCAGTAGAGCGAGTGAAGGTGGTGGAAGAGTTCCCAGCAGGGTTGACTACTGTAACAGTGATGTCATAGCTAGTTCCACTCCTCAGCTTGTCGATAGTGTAGCTGTTCTGGTCTGCAGGGAGTCGTCCACTAGTCCCTCCCTCAGCATTGTCACCAGTCCTGCACTGGACACTGTTGCTGCTCCTATACTGGCCGCTATGGCTGTGATACTGGCAGGAGACAGAAAGAGGATTATCTGGAGGATTTTTTGGCATATCATATTGCATAGCATGATGCTCTGTATCAACAAACAACATTCATATGGCATCGTTTAAGAAGTTGCGAGGCAGGCCCACTTCTCGACCACTGATGCTATGCACAGTACCCCTGTACGTCCGGTAGATTACACACCCAGGGAGCATCCACCCATGTACATGAAGGGACACTACATCTCTGGGTCTCTCCTTACGAAATGAATAGATTCCAAGAACACTAGTTGCGTAATAATTACAAGGTCATTAGACTGGAAATTGTATTATACAAGCTTTGCAATACATTTTCCCTCCCACACAGGAACCCATTTTGTGATGCGAGTGTGTGATTATCTCATGTCGCAATCGAATTTTAAAGTTACGTAATTTGACAGGGTAGGCTCACGTAACATTGCGTAGTCCACATTTTATCCACAATAATTGTCACAAACATGGCTTTGGATAATATACTGTAGCCAGTTGCTAATTTGGGCAACTTTTTGGTAAGGAGGGGTTAGACTGTGCAATGGCGTGACCATAGCCTACCAAGATAATGAGAGTTGTGGCAAAATTCATGTTTACTCCCTCGACTTGAGCTATGAACACAACGGCTACAGCCTCGTAGAGAGCTGTGCCGTCCTGTTGATGGTAGCTCCAACAGGGAGCATGAATCTCGTGACTCTGGAGTCAACTCCAGCTTTCCCTTCCAGACACTGGATCGTGACTGGTAGAGCTGCAGAACTAGACACAGATGAGAAGGGGGGGAGGAAAAGGAGAGAGAGAAGGGTGAGGAGGAAAGACACGGAAAGAAAAGAGAAGGAAGACAGGTGCTAATTACCAACCTGAAAAGGCTTGAGTGAGCAAAGGAGGTAGGTGATAGCGAGAAGAACCGTTGAATAAGCACAGAAAGGAAAAAATTTGAAAACTCGAAGTTGCCGAAAGCAGTCAGGAGAGATGTGCAGTGGGCTCACCAACTTGATTGGGTCGGCCTAGTCGTACCAGAAAAACAGGGCAAGGTGTTACGCGTGTATGACAGCCCAGCAGAACGGTGACCATATAGAGTCCAGTTGCTGAACCAGACCACGAAATCTTCCCCTTTCAGCATTCACACATTGATTATGGGGCACAATTCCAACTGGGCGGAAAACCTGCAAAATGCAGACAAATACGAAAACTACTGAGGTAGAGAAACTAGTGATTTTGCAAGTGCAATTAGTTGTCACGATCCGCAGTTTCAATTTCACACACTGTTAGAACAGATCTGTGACAATTACGCCCCTTTATATAATATAATCATGGCACCATAGTACCATCTATATGTGTAATGTATGAGAGAGCCCACTCACCACACATGACGAGTCTGACAATTGACATGATGACCTCGTTGAGTGTTGCACTTGCCGCCTCCAGCGACGGGTCTGCCCCTCTCCGTCTCCCGCTGCCGCGAGTGAGGACATGGAGATGAGAACGCCACGTGAACACAATGATCCCGAGCACGTTTGTTCTCCCTAGTCGCCAGCTCCACTCGACGCTCCGTCCTGGTGTTGCCATTGACTTGCAGTCGAGATCCAGAGATCGACAGTCTCCTCCACTGCAGCTGAGCAGTCTGGTTGGTGAAGGTCTCGTGTCAGTGAGAGGCATTGCATCCAGAGGTGCCCGGCTTCCTCCTCGGTGTAGACAGATCTGCGTCTGTTTATTTAAACATGGCCACTATCAGGTGTGTCAGGGACAACAGGTTCCTGGCACGGAAAAGGATGGTGACGGTTTAGTTCCGCCGTTGGAGGATGACATACAATGGATCTAGTCACCCCGGGTACTAGAAGGTAAATGGGTAAACATGCCGCTCCCTGAGCAGTAAGTTGTGGTTGAGTCTATGATAGGCAATAAGAATCACTGCAACAGTTCACCAGAAACACCAAGCCATGACAGCTCATCAAATCTTTTGCAGCATCGCGGCCGCTATAGCTATGTGCACATAACTGCAATATGTACCGGATAGTTAACCTCAGAAGCCGAGAACTGAGTGCAAGAGTCTCGAGATGTTTCCCACACGGAGAGGAAGAGTGTCGCACGTTTGCTCGACCTCTCCCATCTCTCTCGCGCCAGGTCTTATGATCACATCACAACACCAGTCCAAGCATCTGCGCCGCTACCACAGTCGTAGTGAGGTAGGGTAATACGGCACCGTACGCACGCCAGCCCAGACGTCCAGTACCTTCGTGTTTGTCTAGCGAGCCCAGCGCCATCGAGACTGAAGATGATGAGCGGGCGAATGAGCATCTGAGCGAGGAGGAAAACCCAGCTCTCCCGGGAGAGAGAGGACGAGCTCTCCAGGCTCGCCCTGGGTACCGCTGGTGGATGGAGAGACCCAGAAAAACCCCACAACCACTGAGAGGAAGGTGGCCGACCAGGAGAAGGTTTGATCGAGTCCAGAGCCAACGGGGATCCGAGGTGGCGAGTCAGCGACCCGTAAGGACTGGCGTGGATCGAAAGCTTCTTCGGTGAGGAGTCGCTGGTTCTCGTTTCTTCTCGGGGTTTGAGGAACAGTAGACATTTTAGACTGTCAGTGAGTGGGAAGAGGAAGAGAGAAGAGGCGAGCAGCTAGGTACGTATAATGTACGTGTTGGAGAGAGAAGCCCCACCTTTTTTTGTTGCAGCATGTGATTTAGGGGCGGGGCTAAGTTCGGTGGGGGTCTCGGGTGCGCATGAGCTCTTGTCAAATAAATGACGAATAAATTTGGATGTGTGCGAATCAGAGTTAGAGAGACAACTCCTGGTGCACTCTACTTGACTCTTTGACTACCATGGACCCCACCTTCTTCAGTCATGTGTTATGCTTCCTACATGTTTTGTAACTTGTCTGTATACATGTCATGCCCGGGCGGGCCATTCAAACATGAACTTTGAGGGCACGTGGTCGGGGCAGTTTGCTCGCTCGTCGCCAGGTGGAAGCTCATCTCTGGCGTGCTCGTTTTTTCTTTCTTTTTCTCTCCATCCCTTCGGGGGTGTGATCAGGACTGGGTTTGGGCAGGGGTGGAGCCGGAAATGGAATGACTCCACCTCCAGTAAGAGGGAAATCCCCTTTACCACGCCCCTCTCGAGCAGCAGAGCCCAGTCCTTTGGCCAGCATCCCTAATGAGGGCTTAGGCCTTCATGCTAAGGGATGAAGGGGGTTGGGTGAGGGCTGGGTTGTCTTATCGGTGAGGTGAGTTAATGGTTGGACGTCGGTCTCTCATGGCGTTCTAAACGCTCTCCTCGGCTCTGGTCAATACCAAAGCGTTTTGGTGTTTAGTCAATGTTTGTGTGGGTCTGTACAATCGACTGAGGTTCGACCTCATCTCCTCCCCTGCCCTCGTGCCCGGTGGTGTGCTCCGTTTTTCAGCTGCTAGATCTGTCCACGTGGGAGGCAAGTCAAATACGGTCGCATCCATGGTCGTACTTATTCTACTCCCATGGTGAGAAGGGTAGCCTCTTGGGGCTGATTGCCGACAGCTGGTATTCTGTGGCTCAGATCTCCGTGGAGTGGTGGTGGAGTGGGTGTGTGGTCACACGTTGCGTGCCTCTAATAAAGTGTCCGTCCACATCATGTCTTATGACGACTTGTTCACTACCACCAATGATGGTGCACAGTGATCTACAACACATCGACTGGGGACAGTGCTAGTTCTGTATTGTACACTATTTCGCTCCCTACACGTTTTTGTCTGATTTGTATGTATGTACCTGCCATGCCCTAGTGGGTCCGTGCATGATTGATGATTGACATTAAACCAAGCTTGTGTATGTATGTACCTGCCATGCCCTAGTGGGTCCGTGCCTACCCACGGCTCCTGAGTGCGAGTCAGCGCTGGTCGACAGACGGCGGATGAAGCTTCTTTTTGATAGTCGCTGGTTCTCCCGTTTCGTTTCTCGGGTCTTGGCGAACGTGAATTTTAGATCTGGTAGTGAGTGGAGAGAGATAGGCGAGCTGGTGTTTTTTTTACGTGTATATAGTATCGTATATACGTAGTGTTGCATTGTGGAGCGAGAGATAGAGAGAGAAGTCGCGCGCAAGCCCCAGCCTTTTTTTTGTTGTAGCACGTGATTTGGGCGGGTCTAAGGTCGGTGGGTGGCGCATTGTTCTCTCTTTTCAAACATTAAACCAAGCTGGGGCCAGTGTCAGCCATGTGCCATGTCACACAGGTTCGCAAGCAGTAGTAGTAGTAGTGCGGCCCTGAGACGGTTGTGAAGGTTGTGTGGGAGGTACTTCATAATCATCTCAGCTGTCCTTCCAGTCCCTCTCACTGCCGCATTACCTGGTTGGTTGGATCTCTGGAGTGAGGCCATCAGTGGCTTATAGAAATCAGTCACAGTGTCATAATATGGGAGGAGGACTTACGCATATGTTGGCTCTGAGAACTTGGAGAGCTCAACTGATTGATTTGTAGCTCCACACGTTAGACTCTGCTAATCAATCCAATGGTTCTTATACTAAGCTCAGAGTGTATGATGTGTACCTCGTTTAGCAGAGTAATTCCACTGACACTTCTCAGCACTAGATATCACTATCACTAACTGTCATGAAATAAGATTATAAGAACCAAAGCCACAGCAACTGCTCCACCAATAATGCAGAAGTGTTATCTGTACTGAACTCTCTGTCTGATTGGTGGAAAAACAAAAAGAGTTATACAAAGGTTAACAATGAAGCAAACTCTCATTTACCATCACCAGTGGAAAAAGTATGGGAGTGCTGTCAGTGTTCCAGCTACATTAGTGGCTGATACAGTGAGTGTGTAGTTAGTGGAGGGTCACAACGGAGGATTGTGTTGGTAGGTAGTGCCAGACAGAGGACCACTGGGCTTCTCATTGCCTCTGTCAGTGGGTCTCCAGACCACCTCCCAACTGGCCACCCACTCACTGGAACACACTCCAGGAGAGGGAGATGGAGGTGGCTGTTACGGAGCTCACCAACACAACACACTTCTGCCCTGGAACTGGGAACTGCATGGAATGGGATTACATTTAAATTTAGATGGAATAGAC